ATACTTATACTATCACTTATTAATTTGAGAAACACACATCAGTAGTGTGTACACTCTCTCTTTTATTTGCAAAAAGAAATTCATATGACATTTCGAATGGATAAAATATTTCACTTTGACCAAAAAATAAATAAACTATAAAAAATTATTTATTTTTAAAAAAATGTTAAATTTAAAATATTTTCCTCACCTCTCCCACCACCTCATCCTCACCCCGACAAACCCATATATTCTTATTTTTAAAATTTTCCGTTATAAAATACTTTTTAATAAATTCAGACTTCACCCCTCCCCAATCCTTCCTAGAAAGAATGACACTCTTTCTCTGTCTCAATTTGTATGACAATTTTTATTTTTCGAGAGTTAAATAATTTAAGTTTAACTTGAATCTGATCATAGAATCTTTAATTTTTTTGAAATGAAATATATATAGTTATAAACTACGTAAAAAGTATTATAACTCACAATAATTGACAATTCATAATAATTAAAAAGATATAAGAAAAATTTACAATCAAAGAAAGATTTGTTTGAATTTTGAAATCTGAAAAGTGCCACGTAAATTGGGACGAAAGAAGTAATATTTCTAATTATATATATAAAAAGTAAATTCTACTTCGCCGTATCTAACCCCACTCTTACTTTATTTTTTATTTATTTTAGATATATACATATATTTTTAAGAAAATATTTTTTTCTATTCACATACCGGATATGACAGAAATAAAAATTTATTTTTAAAAAGCCCGATGACAAATACAAAATATTATTCTAATGTGTGTGTTATATATATATATATATTCTTTGAAAAAATCCTAACCCACCATACATAAATCTCCGCTTCTAAATTTTATATATATATATATATATATATATATATATATATATAAAAAAAAAATTTAGAAGCGAAGATTTATGTATGGTGGGTTAGGATTTTTTCAAAGAAAATTAAAACAATAAACTTTTATTTGTGGGGGGTGGGGGGTAAGGTGAGAGAAAGTGGAGGAGTGCGGTGACAAAAATATTTTACATTTTATTTTATTATAAATTTTTTAGGGGTGTTGAGGGAAGTAGTAATACTTTAATCTTTATCTAATACTAATACTAATAATCTATTTATTTTTTGTTTGAAATATTTTGTCTATGTGGAGTGTGACGTGATTATTTTTTTAAGGGAAAAGGGACGGATTTACTCCTGAACTTTAATAAATGGTACACATATGCCCTCCGTTAAATTTTGCATCCACATAAACCCTTGTTGTTCAATTATATGTACACATATACCCCTCTCAGTAACGGACCCCTAATTTTTTACACAAATCTTAGTAGTATTGATCTACCCGTTTGACCCTTTTTTTTAACCATAATCAACTATCCGCTCCATAACCCAATACCCACCAGGAATCCTAATTAAAACACTCAAATTAACATGGAATAAGTGTGCGCCCTGTGGACTTTACAAGGTGGGCGGCAAGCATGGCTGGGACCATCTAACATTTTTACGTTGACAATTGTCTTGTGAGACTCCTTTCGCCTTTAATTTATTTCGTTCCATCTCATACTAATATGATTTTGTTTTGTCTTATATATATTGAAACTGAAACATAATAGGTGCAATTTAACTTGCTACAGAATAAAACTTGCATGATGAACCTTAACTGTGGTTTTGTTTCAGATTTTGTGTTTGACAAACACAACTACAACGTGCTGAAAGTGAACCAGACGAACTATGAGCGATTTTATATCAAACATTACAAGGGGTGGGAGAGATGTTTTTCATCTAACTCAGGCAAAGTGGAGGTTAATGCTTCCATGAAATGAAATTAGCTATAAATGTTTTGAAGAACCTTTGTCAGCTTCTCCTACACCTTCTTCATTAGACAAAACTAATGCTTCTCCACCCCAAACTGACAAACATTTGATTACACCATTTTTCGCGATTAGCACTCTTGTGTGGATGCTTTTATTTGCTCAAGATACGCAGTCATGACTCCAGTGGCTTCTCTGCAGCCTGAGGATGATCTAGGATTTAATTTTTATGAATTTTTATTTCTTTAACACAGACACATATACATATCTTGGTTTATCTTAATTTTGAGTTTGGGAAATTGTATGTTTAAGAGTATTACTCGTTAATTTAGGTGTTTTAATTAGGATTTCTTTTAGAGAAAATTGGGTGGGTATTGAGTTATGTAATCGATAGTTGGGTTATGGATTAAAAGGGGAGTCAAACGGGTAGTTCAATATGATTAAGATATGTGTAAAAAATAGGTGTCCGTTAGTGAGAGGGGTATATGTGTACCTATAATTGGACGGCAGGGACTTATGTAGAGGCAAAGTATAACGGGTGGCATATACGTAACATTTATTAAAGTTCAAGGGTAAATTCATCCTTTTTATTTCTTTCTTTTTTAAAATAAAAGAAATAGTGCATTACACGCTCTATAATGAGAGTGTAATAAAGAGTTAAATATGTTTTTCAAACTAATAAGTGATAGTATAGGTATAAAATTTACATTATCAGTAGTTTAGTATAAAACAAAAAAAGAAATTAGGTGTATTTTTTTATTCTTTATATCCATTTGAACTTATCTAGAACAGTATCATGAATATTGAATGATAAATATTTATCTTAACATGAAATTTCTTAATTTTTTTCTGATCTTGTCTATAGTTTCACGATGTTGTTACAAAACACACTATTATGCTAATTAAGATGAGCACCTTATCAAGTACATATACTTTTGTATTTGGATATTGTAAGTCTCTTAGAAATTGATATTGAGCCACTGTCCACATTATTTATCACTTTAGAATTATTTTAACCAAGCTCAATATTGATCAGATATTAATGATATATTTTTAAAATACAGTTATGAATAAGAAATTTAATTTATATGTTATATATATTTTATTAAATGAATTATTTTTCTCCAAAACGATGTCCATATTAATAAAAATTATATTAGTCATAACAAAAATTATATTAGTCATCACTAGTCTTAGCATAAGTTCTGATAATTTTATGAGGCATAACGAATAGTACCTTTCTAAATTATAATTGAAAGCAGACATATTTAAATTTAACTAAAATTATATTATCTCCTAAAACTAATTTTAAATATTCTCTGAAGGCATGTAATGAGTGAATTAATTGAACACATGTCGATTTTTAATTGATATTTTATAAATAGTTGATACACATAGTTTATATATTTATTTAGCTTAAATTAATAATTTTGATATCAAAGTTCATATATATATATTATTATTATTTTATTTATTTCTTCATAAAATATTTATTTTAACTTCTTTTTCACTTTGAACTTTTTATATTTTTCTTGCATTAATTCGTTTCATGACATTAGAAATGCAGTGAATCTGCTTTTTAAAAATTTCAATTCAATTGTTAAAAGTTAGTATTTACATGTGAACATTAATTATCAATTGACCTTTTTAATTCATAAGATCTTATTATTATTCTATTTTGTGTGGTGATATTAAGTGTATAATGGTATTTTTCCTAATTTCTAAGTTTACAAGTCTTTTTAATTAATAAAATAAAAGGTTTCATTATTTTGTAGAATATTAATTTAATTAATAAAATAAAAGGTTTCAGTTGTAGAATATTAATTTAATTGATAAAATAAAAGGTTTCATTATTTTGTAGAATATTAATGTAAATATTATTTAAGAATTTCAAGTCCTTTACTAAATATGATTAGTACGTGTATGATTAGAGATAGACTAATTTTTCTGTTATCAAAGAGAAGTGTGATAACATAATAGTTGCGATTATAGACTAATTTTTCTATTTTCAACAATCATTAATTTTTTATGTTGAAATTTAATTATATTATGTTATAATTATATGTTATTTTATTAAAAAAGTAAATCATGAAAATATTAAATATAAATATAATTAAATCTTAACAATTTTCTTCATTCATTAACTTCTTGTTTTTTTTCACTATAATTTTAACGTTTTAAATTTTTTATGTTTTATTCGATTTTCTTTATTTATTTTGATATCCATTTAAAGTTAACTTATTTTAAATACAAGACATTTAAAATTAAATTTAAAACAATTCAAAGGAAAGATAAATAAAATAAAGGAGTAAATAAAATCAATAGCAAAATAAATGAGAAAAACAATAAATAAATGTAAGAAAATCTGATAAAGAAAACAAGATTTTTTAAAGAAAATTAATAAAATAACATTTTTTAAAAAAAAAAAAAGCAATTACACACATGACAGACTCTTATGTAAAAATACAATCAATTTGGATGGATGTATCTTTGAAATAATCGTCATAATTTAGGAAAATACTTTTCCTTATTTCAAAATAATAAATTCATTATTATAATTTGATTTCTATCTTGACATAAAAATTATTCCGTCCTAAATAGAATTGGAGCATTTCAATTTTTGTAAATGTAGAACAAAACCTTTTAACCTTTTAAAATCACATACATGAAGTCCGAGAAGTAATGCTTTTAATATTTTAAGTTGTTAATTATTATAATTTATGTATCGTTACGTAATTTTCAAATAATACATATTATTTCCCTCGCCTCACAAACAAAATTAAAAAATTAACCATTTTTTTAAATAAGTCTTTTACATTTGAAATTGTCAATATTGTAATATATATATATAGAGAATTTTTACATAATTTTCAAATGATATATATTACTTTACATTATTATAATATATAGTAATTTTTACATATTTTAAAAATGATATATATTACTTTTTATATCCAATTTATATAACATTATTATGTCCAATTTATATAACATTAATTAATAAAATTTTGAGAATCAACTAATAAATATATTCAATTTTTCTAGCTTTAACCGTATCTGTGGTGCAGAATCCAATCCATAACAGGAAAGTAAAACGGAGAAAAGCAGTTAGGATTAGGGGCAAAAAAGGTAACACAAAAAATGTTCGAAAGGTAATTCGATTCCAAAAATTAAAAAATAGAGGATCATTTAATAATCTGATCCTTTTTTTCGCACATATGAAAAAGTAAAAAAACCGAATGCGGCGACCGCGATGAACGTTGACAAGGAACAATCCGATTGCAACCTTCCAGAACTTTCTCCACCGTCCATGGAGAAACCTGCACCGGAGCCGGCGCCGGAACCGTCACAGCAACCACCGAGAGAGTCTACTGCTCCGACGCCGTCCATGACGCAGATTAAACAGCCGCCGTCTCTGACGCAGGTGAAACAGCCGCCGTCTCTGACGCAGGTGAAACAGCCGCCGTCTCTGACGCAGGTGAAACAGCCGCCGTCTATTGATCCCAGTGCGCTCTTTAGCGGCGGCGGTATTAGGTAACTGCATTATTGGTCTCTTGCTTAATTTTATTGTTTTCTGCTGAATTTATTAACTGTTTGTTGTTATCAATGTTTATGTTTCGAGAAATGATCAATTTTATTTGATTCCTTTTTCTAGCATTAGAAATGAGAATGACAGTTCGCAGTTGCTATTTCTACTTGACATCATGGTTTAGTAAAAGGTTTTGTTACAATTTTTTCCGTAGCTAGTCTTTGTTTTACAAAGATGGGTAGTATTTACAAAGGAATAGTACATAAACATTACCCTCAACTTGACATCAACGGACAATTATGACCTCTAATTTTGGAGGTGCACAAGTAGAGACTTAAATTTGTACAAAATTGAGCAAATGGACACATTTGTCCTACATGACACCCTACATGAAAATTTTGTGTCCTATGTGTATTATGCCATGCAGAACAAGAGTATCTACTTGTGCATACTCAAAGTTGGAGGACATAGTTGTCCGTTGCAGCCAAGTTAAGGGTTACGTTTATGAATTATGTTATTTACAAACGTGTAATATGATCATATAAAAGAGGCATCCCAAAAGTCTTGCACAATTTGCTAGAATTAAAGAGAGCACTAAGCAATGGTCTCTGTACCCTCCAGGAATGAGGAAGCCCCAAAACCGCAAAAGGAGAAGTCATCCTAATCTTCTTTTTCTTCACACCCACTTTGTTCAACCTTTAGCTTTCCGTTGTTCCTGGCTTCCTGCAACTATTTTAGGAAGTACCTATTGGTTGTTGAAAGTTACAAAATTCAAAGACCACAATTCCAAAGATGCAGTAAGAGATGATTCACATCCTCCCCATGTTTGGTACACATACAACTCCAATTCGTGATGATGCATCTACTCCTTAAATTATCTACCATTAAGAGAGGCTCCCCATGCAACACAACATGTGACAAATATCTCTTCTTTTGGTGCATCTGATAGGAGACTCCCACACGAGATAATGATCCGTCGTAAACAAGTGGTAACACGACGTAACAGAGATGTACTTCTATTACCAGCTTTTTCCATATCAAAAGTAGCTCCATATCACATAATATCATTACTGTAATCTTCATGTGCTTATCGAATTTGAATGAGCTTGGCTTTTTTTTTTTTTAGGCTAATGATGGTTGTGTCTAGTGTTATCAAAGGCAAAAAGCGCAAAAAAGCTTTAGGGTCCATCGGGGCTTTAAGCGCAAAGCGCAAATAAAGCGTGGACTTTAATGAAAAAAGGTGCAAAGGGAGGAAAAAATATAAATATATATGTTTAGTCCAGGACTATAAATTATAAACATGAATGATAAATACATGACCAAGGAAATTGAATTTTTTTAATTATAAAGTGAAATATCAACTATTTAGTGTCAGTTCTTCATAAGAGGCTCATTGGCAAGGAAAAGTTTGCCTTAGAACCTTGATGACGACACTGAACCGCAAATAAAGCGAGGTGAAGCGTTCAATACGTTTTGAGTCTCGCTTCAGGGCTTAAGTGCGCTTAAAGCGCGCCTTTGATAACACTGGTTATGTCTGGGCCAACGTGTTGAGAAATGTGAATTAGTTGGTGAATTTACATTTAAAGTTATTATTACCACATCATACATGATCCAGGAATATGTTCTATATCCCAATGGCGTAGCAAGATTTTTGTGAGGGGTATCACCTTTTAAAATGAACAATAAATAAAATTATGTGACTTCATATTGAAAAAAAGGAACAAAATATAAATAAAATACAGTTCGGGCTCAGTACTATACATTTTCTAAAAAGAAGTACTTTTAAAAAATTAATAAAAACATTCACGTGTCTTTTTTTATTTTGAAATATATTCAAAATAACTTTTAAAATTAATAATATTAAATGCTTCATAAATTGTTTTTAATTAATTTACTGATTAGAAAGATGGTGAAAGTAACCCCTCCCCCACATAAAAAATTAATAATATTAAATGCTTCATAAATTGTTTTTAATTAATTTACTGATTAGAAAGATGGTGAAAGTAACCCCCCCCCCCCCCTCCACATAAAAAATAAGCCTATAAGAAGAGTGAAAGAAGAACTTCAAATGTATAAAAAAAATGACAAGTGCTTGATTCAAACACAAGACCTATACCTTAGAACTAAGGCGCCTGACCAGCTAAGCTAAGTGTGTGTATGTGTCTAGGAGTGTCACTGTATATAACATATTCAGTGTTTCTCCTTTTTCTTTTAGTTATGTATATTAACTAAATTTTTCAGTTGAAGCAGTGTCACATGACACCCTTTGGACTTACGTAGATCTGCCCCTGCTATATCGCTTTAAACCTAGGAACCAATGAACTCAAAGAGTCTTTTTTATGGCTAATGGTGGTAGTTTTCAGGCCAGCTTGTTGGAAAATGTGAATTAGTTGGTGTATTTACATTTCAAGCTTTATATCACACCATACACGGCAAGAAATATGTTCTATCCCCCCTTCAAACCTAGGAACCAATGCACTCAAAAGAGTTTGATCTTATTTCATTTCAATACCCCTCTCCACAAACTCATTCTATAAGGGCGTTTTCAGTGAATCAACCATAATGACAGACTGATGCCATATTTCAGCAGAATCCCCTTCCTGCACATGACCTGTTCTTCTACTGGAAATCTCCATAAATGCCCAACAATGTCTAATGAAAAGTTCCAACCTTGGGATGGCTAATCTCACGATCTTCAAGACATCTTTTTGGACAGTTTCGAAATATAATTCCACTGTTTAGTTTTACAATCTTGTGCTAATCGATGCCGAAGTGAACAAGGACCAAATAAAGTAGGATGCTTAAAATGGCAGCATATAGAAAATGGATCAATGGCGTCATGGAAGAGTTTAGAGGCTCTTCTAACATTACAGTCTCACACATTATATGGAGACCCTTGCAGGGGCGGAGCAAGTGTAGGACGATGTTGGCAAATGATTGTTGAATAGAGTTACTCACCTCGCAACCTAATTTCCTCTATGAGCTTGGCGGGACCCAGTAACTTTGGCATCAAACAGTTTATGTTTAAAATTTCATTTAATATGTACAACACAATCTATTGAGAACCTAGTAAGCAAAAAAAATTGTTATTCCTTATAAGCTAAAAATCCTGTCTCTGCTAATCCTTGTTCTAAGTGATGCTTATGTTTCTCAACACATCCAGATGGTATGAATACTGCAAAATATGCTCTACTGTGGGGTACCTTGTGTAGCTTAAGAGTTGGTCATTGGGCAGGTTAAGTCTTGAATTTCAGCCTGGTTGCTGTTTTTGGTTGTGGATATTTGCATCCATATTTGGACTGATAAATGCATTTCTTTTGTTCGGATCTGTTTATTTTTAATACGACTGTATCTTCATAGTGGGGAGAAACAATTAATGTAATCCTACATTTGTAAAGATATGTTTGGGGATGAACTTTTATAAGAAACCAACTGATTTCTTTTTCTTTTCTTGAAGCTTTCTGACTGGAAACAAAAATGCTAAATTCAGCTATGGATATGCTACTTTTAAGGGGAAACGGGCCTCCATGGAGGACTACTATGAGACAAGCATATCAGAAGTTGATGGTCAAATGGTGGCATTTTTTGGTGTTTTTGATGGTATTTCCTAGAATTTCTTGCATATCTTGTCAGGATGATGTTTCTTTTTTGTAATTAAAGTATTACTACCAAATCGGAAAATTACAGCTCAAACAAAAAAAGAAGAGATTCAAGATTGGACATGCATGTCCATTCTTTTGCTAAGCTACTTTTCATCACCAACTCAGTACTTTAGTAGTATTTATTGCTTATACATCAAGGGTAGTAGTTTAGATCTTGCAATATCCTAGGTACTATGGAACACTAATCTGTCTAACTGTTGCTGCTGTTATTCTTCTTATATTCTGAAACACCCCGTGTTCTTTCCATACATAGTATACTGCTGCAGCCAATTTCGTCTTAAAGATTTCTGCTTGGCTACTCTTTCCTTTATAGTAGGTTACAGCCACCTTATCTCCTCTTGCCATCCATATCTCTTTGCATTTTTTGCCAACGTAACAATTTTAACCATATACTAGAACTTTCAGGACATTGGAAGAGCAAGTGCTGGATACTTTCAGCTTCATTACATAGGGGACATTTGAGGCTAACATTTATTTCCCACTTTACAAGTTAGTAGCCAGCCCTCCAGTATTGCCAGTCTTAGTATAAATATCCATTTTGTAGAACCTCAGTTGTTACATACCAATCTTGTCCAGTCTACTTCTTGGAAGATGCCTTGTAAATTTCTGTATATTGCTTGAATGGATATGCTATCCATTTGCATGAGTTCAGTCAATGTGCAACTTTCCCCCAAAATGTTAATAAAACTATTTACCATATGTCCATATAAAAAAAAAATTATATATATATATATATACTTATTGGATTTGAGTATCTTCCTAGTCATCCATGCAGCCTGTTTTAATTCAATTTGCCAAATAGTTCTCACTTTCCCATAGTAGATGTGCATCCATTTTACCCCTGGGTTGTCCTTCCTTTTGCAAATATTGCATAGGAGTTCACATATTGCAGCTCTATTCCAGATCATGATGTTGATAATGTTCAAGCCTCCAGCTGATTGAGGTTGATAGAGATTTTCCCATGCCACTGGTGGCTTCATAGAAATTTAGCTTTTCTAGTCTTCACATATCTTTTACATATGTTCTCTATCTTCTTATGGAGTATAAACATTTGTCCCAGAATGTTCATTGATAAAATGACGCTCTTTATGAGCTGAGCTCTTCCAACATATGACAGGAACTTAGAAGGATGGGCGTTTTCTACTTTCAGAGTGTTAATCTTGTTTAAATATCATTTTAGTTGTTGTAGATACGAAATTTACTCACGAAGAGACTTTTTTTTGGGTACTCTTGAATTGAGTTTCTTTGCAACCTAGATGATTATTTATCCCTTATACTCTGCTTGGTGTTAGGTCATGGTGGTTCAAGAACAGCAGAATACTTAAAGAACAACCTCTTTAAGAATTTGAGTAGTCATCCTGATTTTATCAAAGATACAAAGTCAGCTATAGGTATGAACCAAAGCAGAGCTCTATGTCATTTCTAGTTTCATTGTATCTTCTCTCTTCTGTATCATTTAATTGGAAAAGCTCTTGAGTGCAGTTGAAGCATTTAAGCAGACTGATGTCGATTACCTTAATGAAGAAAAAGGCCAGCAAAAAGATGCCGGTTCAACAGCGTCAACTGCTGTTCTTTTAGGTGATAGATTGCTTGTCGCAAATGTGGGGGACTCTAGAGTCGTGGCTTGCAGAGATGGTTCAGGTTTGTTGCTTGTTGACTATTTACTATATCCAAAGTTTTCACAAACATGACTTTGGCTATCTCAAGGTCCATTAGTTCTTTTGTGGATTATCTTTGTTATAGGTAAACAAACTTTTTATAAGGGAAGTACATCAGAAAAAATGGGTAAAGGCGTAAAGCTCACAGGGACAGAGGGAGTTTTTCATTAGGTTTAGTCTGAATAGTTTGCATAGGATAACATATTCTTTGGTCTGTACAAAACTGTGATTCTGGAACTACTTTTTGTAATTTCTAGAACTTTCCACATTTTCATATCAATGGAAGTTCATTAATATATCAAAAACGTGTAAAAAAGTACATATACCTGAACAAACAAATTAAAAATAACAAAGCACATTTCAAACCTTCAAGCAATTAAGAACCTCAAACAAATTCAGACACTTGAAACAACTTTGTTACTCGATGCTAGCTTATCACAATTTATGTTAAGCATTCTTACAATCATAGTAACCACTACACTTAATTTGTCTGGCTAGTTGCTTCCGCTATGCGTTATAAATGAACTGATCATTAGGATCACATATATCAGCTTTCTATATCCTCTATTGTTTATACCCTTTGGTCTGATTGTTTGTATAATGATTTATTCAATAATTTAGAAAGCTTGTTATGTTGTCTTTTGTTTTGATTTGGCCATAGCCAGGCAGAACATATTTCTGCTTGGAAGATGTTAACTATGAGACTTTTGCAACAAAGGAATATGACTTGTATAATTTAAAAAATTAACCGATGAAGCATGTTTTGTATTGACTGACCTTAATCATATTTGTCTCCAAGGTCATTTGTCGGTGTAAAATTTTGTTATAGTCTTTTATCTGTAGGTTCTCACAAGAGTTATTAATCTGTGAAAACTGAAAAGCTTGCCCTGTTTTTCATTCAGAATAAGATATGAAGGAATCTGTGGGGTGTTTTATAATTTTTGTATATGGGTTTATCTTATGAATATAGGTTCATTATTACTCATTTAAAAAGAAAAAGAAGACTAGAAAGATAGGATGTTTCTTATGTATACTATCTAGTAAAGTCTCAATGATTTACCGTTTGCAGCCTTTACCATTTAACATTTGGGCTTTCCATCCCCCTATTATCCTTTTAACAACAACAACATCCCCTGTGAAATCTCACAAGTGAGGTCTTAGGAGGGTAAAATGTATGCATACCTTACAACTACCTCGTGGAGGTAGAGAGTCTGTTCCCGACATATTTTTATTAAGACTTTCCATATTTATGGAGTGGAACAATGACAAATCATATGGTTTGATGTAAACACATGGTGAGGTTATGCTTTTTTTGATGAAGTCACAACGGGTTTGGGTAAGTTATCGGTATGATATTCCGTAAGAAGAGAGAACTTCTTAGAAAGCACCATTAAGAATATAGATTGGAAAAAGTCCAAATATACCCATGAATTATACTATTTGGAGCAAATTTATCCTCCCATAAAAATGGCCTATATCTACCCCTATCGTTACACAAATGACTCATATATATCCTGTTCGATAGATGGAGCTCAAATACCCGTCATTGAAATATTTTTCCTAGTGTATTCATTATAAGTAAAGCCATGTGTAAAAAATTAAATCTTGATCAGATAGTAGCTGTTAAATTAAAGAATAGAAGTCCATTAATCCTAGTTTGTTTTGGCCTATTTTGCTTATTGAGGATTAATTTGATCAATTTTGGTGTTAAGATTAAAACAAATTCATTCTTTTTAAGATATTAAGCACTTACATTAAAAGTAAAGAACTACAAGTTGCAACACCGCAATTCAGAAGAACACATTTTACATATTAGTCAAAGCTCACCTAAATTTCATCCTTGGAAAGTTAATAGGGAAATAATTTGGGACATTTAAGGGAAGTTCCGATCTTTCACCTCATGAATTGATAAGGAAATGTACTTTATAATTCATTTTTGTACCGACCAAAAAGGAAATGGGTTATTCCATTTGAAATGGAGGAGGTACTTGTGGTTGAATTAGATTTGCAAGTTAAGAAAAAATCATTATGCAATTTAGGAGTTTTTTTAAAGATGAAGTAGGAATATTATTAACAAAAGAGCATTAACTAGCCCGTATACAAAAAGTAGAAAATCTTTAAAGAAAATATAATTTTTTATGAATGACACCAAATCATCTAAACAAAAAGTAACCTCACGGGTGCACCAAAGATAGCTAAGGGAAACAAGGTAGTTCTCAAGGGTAGAATTTTTCTCTATTCCATCAAAAGCTCTGCTATTCCCCTCTCTCCGTATGGTTCACATCTGTGCTATAGGGGTAATTTCATATGCCTTGCGTCTAGGGGTGTGCATCAGTCAGCTTAGTTCGGTTTTACATATTATTGATTCGATTTACAGTTTTTAATATGCTAAACCCATAAGATATTTTTATCGATTTTGGTCCTTAACGGTTTGGTTCTCGGTTTAACCAATAAGAAAATGCTTATAAAGCAACTATATGATTTTCCAACAATTTGACGCGACAAAACAATAATTATAACTTTACAAATGATCGTAAAAAAATAATAACTAAGGTGAAAAGAACTATACTAGTGTAATACAAAGAGAAATAAGATTCTTACATTAGGTTTTGACGTTTTGAATAATGTGAAGTTGTGAACTCAAAGTCATTGTGAAGTGTGAATTGAAGGCTAAAAGACAAAGACAGTATCTAGTAAGGTATTGAGATTAATATTTAATGTTTTAGTAAATTACTACAGCCTTAATGGGTTACCGATTTATCCAATAACCCAATATTGAAAACCAAAATCGAACCGGTAACTCTATAATGTTTTTGTATTAAATCATTGAAAAACCATTAATCCAGTAACCCAATAGCAATAAATCAATAATACTTTTTCCATTCGATTTATGAGTCGATTCGGATTTTACACACCGCTACCTTCCTCTGCCTTTCTATGAGCCTAGCTGAACATTGTTTCGAGTAAAGTAGTAAATCAGTGCAGTCTTAATTGGTTATTGATTTATCCAATAACCCAACATTGAAAACCAAACCGAACAGACAACCCAATAATATTTTTTTAATATAAAACCATTAACTCAATAGCAATAGACCAATAATACTTTTTCGGTTCGATTTTTCGGTCAGTTTGGTTTTTCACACTCCTACCTGTACCTCCTCCTCCACCTTTCTATGACCCTACATAAACATTGTTTCTTTCATAGTTCTCGACATTACCCACTCAAAACAAAACCGTCTAATTAACTCCCCCCATAACAAAGATGCTACCCGATAATGTAAGAATAGGTGATCTATGTCTTCCCTTGATTCTTTGCAACTGAGGAATTGATTAAGAAAATATAGTGGTATTTCTATCGGTGTAGAAAACAAGTGATACTAAAAGATTACATTTATAATTCAACAACATACCTGGTGAGATTCCACAAGTCGGGTCTGGGAGGATGGTGGGTGTATACATACCTTATTCCTACCTTTGTGGAGTAGAAGAAGTTGTTTCAATAGACCCTCAGACTCGGGAGAAAAGGAACCGTTTTTCCAAAACAGTTCTGAAGAAAAACAAATGCAAGAGTAAATAAGCTATGATAAAAGTATCTCTGAGAGTTTAAGTTATAATTCCTTTAATGATAATAGAATTAAGTAACCACCTCATTGTGTAAATCTTCCTAGCGAGAAACTTAAATGGAAAGATTTAAAAGTCAAACTAAATTATTGACCTAACATAGTGGATAAATAAAGAAAAATATTTCATCATTGATGGAAATTTAACAAAATAATAACTACTCCGTCCATCCCATTTTATGTGGCACCCTTTCCTTTTTAGTCCGTCCCAAAAAGAATGTCACATACTATAATTAGGAACAATTTAACTTTAAAATTCCCTTTTACCCTTGATAAAATGATTTAACAACCGCACAAATATCTAACTATTGTTTTAGACCATAAGTTTTAAAAATCTTCCTTTTTTTCTTAAATAACGTGTCAAATCAAATAGTATCACATAAAATGGGATGGAGGGAGTAAAATGTATATTCGTTTTTATATTTGAATATCATTTCTGAATAACCACCACATAATAAAGAAATATAAGGGACCTATCCATTTTCTTATCTCTTATAAGAGATTTAGCTACTTCAGTTTTTGAATTGAAACAGTAAAGGAAGTGAAATACCAATAGAAATCCATTGAATGAATAAAGTAAAAGTAAAACACTCCTAATCCAACTTGTATGGAGCACTTATTATGAAGAAGTAAAAACAACTTTTTTCTTTACCAAGTTCTTCTTTGAAAATATCTATAAATAATTTTTATTTTTTAAATTTGGTTTTGATTGTACATTCAAAATTGACCAGAAAGTAGGTATGACGTGATATATCTTGGGACTGTTGAAAACTTGGAATAACTCATGTTTTGAAACTGTTAATATGACAGTTGGAATAACTTTCAGCAATTCTAAAGTCCACCTTATCCATTTACTTTTGTATTCATTGTCTTACAAGAAAGTAGTCTTCATTCTCTGCTTTATTGTGTCCGATGCAAAAACTGTGTTTGCTAAATGTTTGTACAAATGGAAACCAGGAAAACTATCATTCTCATTGAACTTGCCACGTGAGCTTTATTCCTAGTATAACACCTAAATCTTGATAAATTAGGTGTTGGAATCTATTTTCTTCTCAAATTTCAACACGCCTAAACTTAATTATTTATTTCTCAGATTTCTAGATCAAATTTAGGAAGTGATTCATCAGTTGAATGATTATTGAACATATTTTAGATTTTTAAAAGATGTTAATTCATTTTAAGCTATTTGGTTATGAGATATAACTGTTGCAATTAATGCAGCTATTCCTTTGTCCATTGATCACAAGCCTGACAGATCAGATGAGCGCGAAAGGATAGAACAGGCCGGTGGTTTCATTATCTGGGCAGGTATAAGCCTGTTGCAATTTCTTTGTATGTATCAATTGCTGCTTGATTGGCCCAGTAAATGCTACCGGAGTCCCAAAGAATTGTATTTATTCTAGTGTTCTTGTATAAATTTAATAAAAAATTTATCTTAGTTTTCCTATCGGGTGCTATACATATTCATTTTGTGTATAATTTTCACTAGGCCCAAAATTTTTTTTAAAGAATTTTCCATAATCACATTAAAATAAGTATTTCAACCTTCATCGCATGTGAATATTATGAGACTTCACAAAAAATTGCTTTTCTGCCATTGTGAACATAACCTCAATCTAGGGCTAAAGGTTAGCGAGGTTACACTTAGGTATTTTTGATATGCTCTGATTGCAATTTGGTGGTTGAATAAAGTATCATTCTTGTCATGAAATTATTGTCTCCTCCAGTAAGATCACGCACAGATTGCATCTGAAGCTCACGAAGTGACAATAGGTTTTCCATGTTTCTTCATGAAGTATTGTTGAATTTTCAAGGTGTGATGTGATTTGATGTGTAAGATAACCTAGTCCTTTCAACACCCCATCTTCTGATCCATCCCTTCCTGGGCTACGAAAATTTGTAGTTAAATATAACACACACACCACCCTCCATTTTATATGATGTACTTTGACTTGGCACAGTTTAAGAAAGAAAGAAAGACTTTTAAAACTTGTGGTCCAAAATGAATGATAGAAATTTGTGTGGCTGTGAATCATTTCTTTAAGGGTAAAATAGACATTTTATTGTTAAATTGTTACTTAATTAGAAATATGTCATTCTTTTTGGAACTGATTAAAAAGGAAAGCAAGTCACATAATTTGGAATAGAGGGAGTAGTTATTTATACTATTGTAGAATCATTTCGTTAAGTGGAAAAAGGGTACTAACTTGATTTATGTGTTAGTTTTAGATGTATTTTTCTATGTTGTGGAGCTAAAAAGCTTTTGGTGCTTTGTTTGGGATGTAGTTTTGTATGTGCTTATGTTGATTGGAGGTATAATGCTAATGCTTTGATCATGGAGCAAAGTGAGTTTTTCAGTGTATGGAATACAATTGATAAAGATGTTTATTGCAGTATGCTTCATGTGGTTTCTTTTCCTGTCAATTCCTTATATGAGCGCAATAAATACTACATATTCGTGCTTGCGTGCCTTTGGTGTTTCTTACTGAAAGTTATTATGGCTCAACATGACAAAAATATGCATGCACAATTTCTTAGTTCCTCTTTTTCCTTTTAGTTGAATTCAGTTCAATGTCCTGCTGCTCTATTCTTCAGGTACATGGCGTGTAGGTGGGGTCCTTGCTGTTTCTCGTGCATTTGGAGATAAAATGCTAAAGCCATATGTTGTGGCAGACCCAGAGATTCAGGTAACTCGGCTTTGTTTCTTGAAGCAATAGTTTGTCTTCATTTGCTGCTCTAATTGCCTGATCTGTCAAGGCACAAGAACATGGTGTTAATCTAGACGTACGGTTCTCCGCTGTCCCCTTGTGATATATTACTGGAAAAGGAAATTTTAAATTTTAAAGAAATCTATGGTGTCTTATTAGCTTCTTTAACACAACAACAACAACATGAAATTTCACAAGTGGTGGTCTGGGTAGTGTGTTGTGTATGCAATGTCACTCACCTTTTTAAGGTAGAAAGTCTATGTTTGGTAGACCCTTGACTCAAGTAAAACATATAAAAATAGGTAAGAGATAATACAGTAAAGAAGAAGCTGTGTTAAATAATGGGGAAAAGAACAGTAGTAATAACAACAGATAATGCAACAATCGAAGTAAAGGAAACAACAAGTAATAATAAATTGAAGAAACCCTTCGAGGTGACCCAGAGGTTTGGGCTTGAGACTTCCATGTTGGAGGTCTCAAGTTCGAAACCCCTTGCCAATGAAAGCAAGGGGTTTGCCTTCTGGGTCAAGCTCGTCGCACTACGGCTTGTCAAGTGCGGGTTACCTCTCTCGTGTGGTTTGCGAGCTATTGCATACGAGCAGGTGTTTTGCCCTGTGCACCCAAGGGGTAGCGACGGCGAGTTTCCCTTGTCATAAAAGTTAAATAATAAAATTGAAGATAAGAAAGTAGGAGGAAAATGCTGATAATACTTATAAGGGAACTAAACTACGCATGATTAATTACTAAACTTCTACCTTAATTTCGACCTTCATATCTTTCTATCTAGACTCATGCCCTCGGTAAGCTGAGGGTAGTGTTCAGCAAAGCAAGTGCTTCATTGCTTTAAGTGGTGAACCGAAACGAAGTGAAGCGAGGCATGTGAAAAGAAGCATCCGCTTTTGGGCTTGAAGCATGGTGCTACCAGAAGCGGCAACTCGAGAAAAACAGCGGTTTTATTTTTTTTGACTTAATTATTGACCGATTTTAAAGGATAAAAAGAGGCGTGACTGGCCTTGTCCTTAAGAAAGTAGAACAGTAAGGTATCAGTGTACTCTTTCCTTCCAGTACCTTTTCTCTTTTCTTTTTTCTCCTCCTTCTTCTTCTTCTTCTTCTTCTTCTTCTTTCTGGTACAGTGGCATTGCTAGCCTAGGTTTTTTCTTCTCTCTGTTTTTCTTTTCCCTGTTTAGCTTTGATTATTTGAATTATATGTTGCTAATTTTTTCTTCACATTGATTAAATCATCTGTTGCTGAATTGTTTTGTTTCATAACAATGTCTAAAATGTTGTTGAATTGTTTCTTAATACTTAATAGTGATAAAAATATATTGTTGATTATATTCTTAAGTCTTATCTGCCGTTAGAAATGGCTGACCCAACATGAAAATATGGGAAAAGAAGTTAGTAAGACCAATAAGACAAATTGTATGTCAGTCTGTCTATTTGGTGACAAGACAACTAATGGGGAACCTTTTCCTAGTTTTTAATATGAATATTTGCTTATATATTTTGTCTTTATGTATTTTGGTCTTTTTTCTTTTAAATTGTGCTTCACTTCAATGAAGCGAGACCTTACCGCTTTTTACTGCTTCCGCTCCCCTACACACTAGCTGAGGGTGTATCATATCCCCCCGCCCCCTGAATCAGTTGTATGAAAATTGAATAGTGACAAGTACATTGCTCTGGGACTGTGATGAAGTTTAAAAGAGGGAAGAAACGAAGGAAGTTTAAAATAGAATACACAGCCTTAATCTTCCTTTTCCTCCTGTTCCACCACAGTTAATTAGATGATACTATAACCATTGCACAAAACGTGTTGCTATTTTGTCCCACGATTGTAGATGGAAGAATGATATGTTTGCATAGAGGTTTGACAGTTCCTATCCAAGGACTGACAGTAGACAAGTATCTCAATAAGAAAATGTTTGAGATGGTACATTGCACTTATACACATAAGCATACAAGGGGAAACTGGCATTCAGTTGTATCTTTTATGTCCATTTTTTTGCAGCTAAAGTATTTTAGGTCTCATATTCATGCTGTATTTTTCTTAGCACATCTTGTCCCTTTGATTTGGTTGTTTTATTATGATACCGTAACTCAGTAGTTTTATTGAACTGAAATATTTCTATGCACATCTCTTCCCTCTCCTCTCTCTCCCTCTCTCTTGTATAATTAGCTTCCATTGTTAATTGACTTGTATTGATGGTGAGTGCACTGCTGTTTGATCTCCTTTTCAGGAAGAAGAAATTGATGGTGTACAATTTTTGATAGTTGCGAGTGATGGGCTTTGGAATGTCCTCTCTAACGAGGTCAGGTTTCTTTTAGTAAATTTGGTGAACCTTTCTTGTTTTTTCAACACTAACCAATTTTCCTCAACTTAAAAAGTCTTAGTAAGACGACAATGCTCATGGAGTTAGATGTCTTGATTGCATAATTTAGTTCGGCTTCTTACCTAGATGTTCTAGCTTTTATCTAATTTCTGACTTGCATTACTTATCGTAAGAAAAGTACAGAACAAGAAAAAGATAAGCTGCAGAATTGCCTTCCTTTAGTAAGGTACTTGCTACTCCTTACAAATAGGAGGAAGGCCAATGATGCAGGACTCGAGGGGCCAACAGTCGAGTATCTTTCATGCATTAATGTTCTTGCTACAATAATAAAAAATCAAGTATCCTTCATGCAGTAGTTTTCTTGCTACAGTAACTGTATCTCGTTCATCTAGATCTTGGGTTTTATTTATGTAATTTTTTCTTAAATTTTCTTACAGGACTTATTTGGTTATTTCTTTTCCTTATAGGAAAGACTGGGTGCACTAGATCCAATGTGATCCGGTCCTTACCTAGAGTCTAGAGTCTACGTATATTGGGAGCTTAGTCTCAAGCTTTCATTTCTTTCCACTTGGGAATTTCTTTGTTGACAAGAATTTGGAGTCGTAGTTGTTTAGAATTAGGGTTCTTGGATTTGTTTCCTCATAAATAAAAGTAGATACAATAATGTCAGCATTCAACTTTTTGTTTATAATAATGCTGGACTATTGACATGGTACCTGTGCTGGGAGGTAGGAGGTACCATGTGGAATTATTAGTTTAGATGCACTGATGCTGGCTAGGACACAACAATTAATAGAAAAACGGATAAGGGTAAAAAATGTCCTTAAACTATGCTAAATTGAACAAAAATGCCCTGTGTTAATAGTTTGATCCTAAATTCCCCTATTGTTACTTTTGGGTAAAAACTGTCATTTTCCTGATAAATAGGATGTTTCTTTTCTTTGTAAACACATTGCTTACCTAATAAAATATTATTTTTAAAGGACCTTTTTCTTTTCTTTTGTCCTTTAAAAATTCAACTAATATAAAAGTAGAAACTAATTTTTTCCTTCTTAATCTCCTTTTTTAAATAAAAAAGAGAATTACCCTACATGTGATTTTCCTCTAAGGCATGTATTTATCAAGCATTGCCTCAGACCATCCAGGATGATGCAAATAGACGTAGAGGATAAGTGGTCATAGAAGAAAAATTAGCAATGGAATATATAGATTTGCAAGTACTGTACCTTTGCAAAGATATGATGACAAAGGAACTGGCATACGACATGTTTCATTGGTCTCTCTCATCCTCGAGTAAACTTGAACAGTTGGCGGTCTTGCTAGCACAAATGAGCAAGCGCAATAGTCGATTGGTGTTCAGTAAAAGAACAAGTAGACGAAGGAGCATCATCTAATTGTTCTGTTAAAGCATAGGTAAATTGATTGACTACCCACTCATTTTCCTCCTCCTAACTAGTAGAAATGGGGAGGTGCATCTCTGAAAATACCATTTCGGTTGACACCAAATATTTGCTGAGTTTGGTATAATGACGCCGATACCCGTTCTGAAGTTGAGAATAGCCAAGGAGAACACATTTCAATGCCATGGAAACCAAATTGGTAATAGCTTGTCGAGCATCTTGGAAATATCATGTACTTCCAAATACCTTAGGTTCCACTGGAAATAGGGACTTGTTGGGGAGTCGAACACTTAAGGCATGTTATCAACAAGTGCACTAGGTGGGATGCAATTAATTAAAAAGTTAAGTTGTAGAGACTGCATCTGTCCAAATTGTTTAGAAACCTTCATTTGGATTAGAAGTACCTTAGTTGTCTCAAGTAAATTCCTATTTTTCCTCTTAGCAACTCTATTTGAGATGGTGTATAATACATGAAGACTGATGGTGAATTCCGTGTTGTCTCATGAATGATAGAAACAATTATGGCATGTATTCTCTGGCATTATCACTCCTTAGAATAAGCAGTGAAGCATTGATTTGAGTTTTGATTTCAGCATGGGAGGCACAAAAGTGAGTAAACACTTCGAAACGACTCTTCATAAAATAAATCCAAGACATTTGAGAGAAATCGTTCACAAAGTAACAAATATATATGCCCTGTTTTGGAAACAATAGGACAGTCCCCAAACATCAAAATGAACTAATTCAAAAGCTGACTCAACTAGCTTATTAATCTTGGACCTACTGAGGTGCAACAGTGTTTTACAAATTCACATGACTTATTGTCTAAGAAGAAACATTCTGAAACTTGGGACGACTTTAATGTAGGCAAAGAAGGATCGCTTCGCCGATGATATGCTTCAAATGGAAACACACCATAGGAGTAGGCACCAAACCGAGGCTCCCACTTATTAAAAATATGAAGATCATCAGATGTATGTCCCTTACCAATTACTTGATTTGTCGTAAGATGATGAGACAAACAATGATCGGGAAAGAATGAGATATAGCAATTGAGTTCTCTTAATGATGGTTAATTTTATGTTGGGGATAGAGACCTAGTCGTTTGAGGTTATAAGTGTTGAAGAAGACAATGTTGTTAATTCTGAAAAAAGAAGACAGTGTTGTTGTTGGAATAGTAACCCTGTCCTTATATAAGCACAAGGCAAATATGGGTCATTTCACATAATTCAAGGGCTTATTGAACTCTTTTCTTTTTGTCAAAAATGTCCACGTGCTGGTAAGCATTATTTGTTGGTTAAAAAGGGCAAATCTAACCCCTTTTTACAATGATAGGGGTATATCTAACACCCCTACCACTAATGATGTTCAAATTTAGACCATTTTGCCAAGTTTAGGGGCAAATTTGGATCTTTTCACTTTTATTATTGAGTTCTAGAATATATTCAACTTGTTTGAATCTTAAAGAATTATGATTACTGTGAGGAGACACAACCCCAATTTTCAATCAACATATGCTAGTAAATCATGTCTTTTAAAAGATAATATTGCACTACTTTTCTACCCTTTTGCGTCACACTTTTATTTTTAGGATGTTCAAAAGAACAAAACCATTAAATATTTGGAAACTATTAAACATTAGTATTTTAAGCGTTAATTGCACTAAATACCCCTGTTAATGTGATTTCCTCTTGGATGCACCTCTGTATTTTAAAATTGAACACTTACAACCGTCTTAGGAGGTATATCCTTAACTATACTTGCACGTCTTAGGAGGTATATTTGTAACTAAGTATATTAAAATAGACAAACTGAAATTATAAATAAAAAGTTTTTATGTATTTATGAAATTTGAAAAGTGGATAATTCTTTTTATTGAAAATATTTATTCATGCCTTAAATTAAAAGAGAATTTTTATTTTCTTTAAATATGCATCTTTTTAAACTCTTAGATAAGAAATGACCACAAATTACTTAATAGGATGAATAAATTTTGACATAATTATTTTCTCTTTTTTTAAAAAAAGAACTATGGCAAAAAAGTTTTCATCTTTCAAGCAATTAAAATATAATGATGATATCTCAATTTCTTTTTTTGACATTTAAACCTACTATATATAATAGTAAGGGAAAAAGGTCGGAAATATATCTGAACTTTGACCGAAATTGTTGTAATGATACTAGACATTGGAAAGTACCTTTTAGCCCTGCACTATTTAATAGTGTATTTTAAAGGTATATATTTGTCCACGTGGACATAAAAAATATTGCATAATTGTAAATAGTAATTTGTCCACGTGAGCACATATATACTTTTAAAATACACTATTAAATAGTGCAGGGGTAAAAGGTCTCTATAAAGTTCGGTATCGCAACAACAATTTGAGCCAAAGTTGAAGTATTTTTCAGACTCTTTTCCCTAATAGAAATCCTACACAAACGATACTTTATCTAAGTAAATTAACATAAGAATTTTGAAGCAGAGAATAAACAAAACAAAAATAAAAAGAAGAAATTTGTATATAATATAATAAAAATATTAAAATTAAATAAACATACAAATAAGTTACATGTTTAAAGTGCAAGAAGATTGTAGTAATAAGTGATATTTCTTATTAGGTAATTTGTGGTATTTATAATTTTAAGTTACCTTTTAATAATTATATTTTAATATACTTAGTTAATAATATACCTCGTATGAGATTTAAGTGTATGATTTTCATAGTACAAGGGGTGTACAACAACAAAACATACCCTGTGTAATTCAACGGGTGGGGTTTAGGGAGGATGGTGTATATGCAGACCTTGTCTTACCTTGTGAAGGTAAAAAGGTTGTATCCTAAACTGAATATTATGGGGGTACTTAGTGTAACTAACCTTATTTTTTGCTTTTCTTCCTGATGTTACTTGGTTGGAACCAACTTGATACAAAAACTGATCTTTTATTAAAGAGAAATAAGAAGTGACACGTGGAACTCTTACCGCATTCAATTTAAATAAGGGGCTTTTGGGACCTTGTACATAGATTTAGTGTAATTTTTTTAAATTTCAAATTCCTTGCATTGTCAAACAATGTCACATTAAAAAGGAGGGACAGAGTATAAATTTGATGGGTGGAAGGAGGTGACCGAGGATGCTCTGAGGTGGATGATTAATCCAGACATCTCCATTTGAAACCTCAGAACCTGGACTGAATTTGAATGGCTCATACATGGGTTTCTTTTATTTCTTCGGTCTTTGTTTCAACCTGGAGCTTGTCATTAAAAGGTAGGAACATCAAAAAAGAGATGAAAATCTTCTCTAAGTTCATTAGTGATCAGGAACTCAGTTTTGTAATTCCAAGTTGAGCTTTAAATTTTCGTAGGTTTGAGGTTGAAATTGAGGGGAAAAGACTTGCTAATGTATTCACTATTTTGGGAGTTTGATGAAAGTGGGAACTATTATGCTCAGAAGAATTGGCCAGAATTGGTTCATAGGCTTAGAGCTTGATGTAATGCTTCTTTGCTTAGGCAAGCTCAAGTTTGATTAGTGTTGATTTCTAGAGCTTGTGTGAGGCTTTTTACCCTTTCCTTATTTATAAAGTTAGAAGAAAATAATAAACCAGGGAAGTTTTTCTTTCTTAATATACTAAGCTTCTTCTTTGATTCTAGTTTCATGATTGTTAGGACATTACAGAGTAGCTTCATAGTGCTTCGCTTGAAAGCTTTGCTGATGTGTCTAGTATGTTGTTATTTGCTGATTGCTTTCTTAAAGATTCATGCAGTTATGAACATTAACTGTTTAACTTCTATTCATTACATACAGGAGGCCGTGACCATTGTGCAGGACATAAAAGATGCTGAGGCAGCTTCACGTAAGCTTATTGAAGAAGCTTATTCAAGGGGGAGTTCAGATAACATCACCTGTGTGGTTGTTCGATTTGAAAGCACATGAATGGACCTTTTAAGGTCTGCCTACCTTTCCTTTACTTACAAACATAAAGAAAAACCAAAAAGACGCGAAACTTTCTCCTCGTTGTTTTGCAACAGACTTGAGCATTAAAAATGATGTTTGTCGTCAATGCTACTCAGTCTGCAGATAAAAGATCCTGAAGTGAGGATGTAGGCCTTGTAACTAGCTTATTTTTCCAACTCTTCCATTCTTCTGTTGATCATTAAATTATTCGGGTGGTCATGTCAGTTGAAGTAGTGATCATGAGGATTTCTATGGATACTCTCCGCTTATAGACTTGTAATGTTGCCTTCAATTGTTATGTGATGATGATGAAGTGTAAATCACACTGGCATAGTTTCTTCTTCTCTATTTACATACATCTATTATTGTAGGTGTTCTCTATTTCACTTGGCCTACTTAGAATTCGTAATCCAGTATTTGTTAACGTTGTATTCTCCTAACTTTGTTACTCATGGGACTATAGTGATTATGTTTACTGGTACTTTCTTTGACTTCTGAGTTGTGATTCGATTTAATTTTTTTTCCAGAGACTCCATAGATAAATGTTGTACGTAGGCTGTATGTAAAGTCATTATTCGACTTATTAGGACACACTGTTACGTTTAGGTGCTATACAAATTATATTTCTTATACAATTAATAGATTATGTTGATTGATTTTTGCATGTTTGGATCAAATAAAAATGATGGGCAACTCAATGAACTATCACATCTTATAAGGTGTTTATTTTGTAGACGTTGAGTTTTGGAGCTGTCTTATCAATCACTAACCATGAAGGAAAAAATTCCTTTTATTTAGGGAAGAAAATTGATTTCGTCCTAACTAGCATTTCTAACTTCTCTCCTAAGACATTCACGATATTTATAATATAAATATGTTGTTAACAAGACATAAAAAATGTTATAAAATGGATGATCACACTGTACTTTTGTGTAATTGTGTCTTAGTAAACAAGTAACTTTGTGTTCAAGCCTATCCACTACTTGTTACTCATTATTGTTCTACTGCTGCATATCCTTTTTCCATTCTGGATACTGGTGTTGATGTTACTGTATATTTCCATTCTCCTTTTTCAACTATGCTACTTTGAGTTTGTGACAACCATAGTATATTTTACGGGGCCTTTGGTAGGGTTTAAGAGAAATTTCAAGTTTGAAACAAGTGAGTGTGGCCAAAATAAAACTTGGTTGATGCTGAATATCAAGTCGCGGATAATATTTTTAAGGAAAACATTCCTGTTCTTAAAGAAGATTTTGTGGTGTGTCGGATCAAGAAGAAGATGGATAAAGAGAAGAACGTGGATCATGTTATGGAGGCACAAGATGGAGATGTTGAGGGAATTATCATGATTACTATAGCAATCTTCCATCTTCAAGGAATTTTCTCTGTAACTAGGAGTGTCGTTTTGGTATCTTTGCTTAACGCTAACTCATCTATTGATCATTGTTTCTTCTCCTTATTGGGAGGTTTCTTTGGAAGTCGAGAGATGTCTATAATTGTATATTTGGCTAGTGTTGACTATGTTCGTCCTTACTTGTATAAACTAGTAAATATTGAATCTATAATGAAGCTAACGAGTTCATCCAGGCTGTGCCCTACTCGCAAGTAATATTTACGGTAGAAAACAGAATTTAGATATTCATCTTCTGTTCAGTTTGTACTTGGATAAAGCTTTGAAAGTTCCACAGGGTAGCTTCATTTCTTTTGCTTACTTTTATAAAATAATCAAATTGAAGACGACCATTATTTCGACAAAATTGATTAAAAGTTCAAACTGATTATTTCAATCCATCTCCTACTAAGCTTTCTTCAGATATATTTACTTTTCCGTAGAATTACTCTGGCATATCAAATATGTACTGATTTCACTAATTTAGATTCACGTCATATAGACATGGACTTGACTAATTCAAAATCAAGTCGATTAAAGGAACAACCCAACAAGAAATTCTCCATTCATTGAAATCAAACTAAGAACTTGTAATAATTATGGATAAAATTCTCCATTCTGCACCAAGAGACTTGTTTATATCTGAACCTGTGCATACACTGCTGTGGTAAATAAAATCTTTCTTAATCAATCACAAATAGAAAAGAACTCCTCATCTTCTTCAAATATCAAATTAAGAGCAAGAGGACAACAGAAGAACATTCAGTCAAACAAACTACAAACGTGAAGGATAGAAACAGAGTTCGTCATCTCCAAGTAATTACATCATTTTGTTTTACAAAAGAAAGGGAAAGCGTGAAGAAAACAAAGAAACGTCCATCTCAACAACAGCCACTTGTTGATGCATCAGATTCCGGAGGTTTCTGTCTAAATATATTTTTCCTGACGCCAGCTGAACCTTCAGCCAAGAGACTTGGAGTGTCCAAAATCTGCAAACCAAAATTCATCATCACAAGTTCACGACTAAGCAATGTTCTCCTTCGGTAGAGAGAGGGGAAGTAAAAGGGACTATTGCAATAACACATTACAGATGAAGACAAAATGTAAACTGAACTTCATAGAGCATGCATTCTGTTCCGCGAAGCAATATTTGAACCATTTATTGAGATAATATTTGCTAGCAAGGATGTTGGACAGGGAAACAACCAGGGCAAGTTGCAGTGACTACCGCCAGATGACTGACAAAGTTCAATCATCTCCCCAACAAAGAAAGAACTTTCTTCTAGCATGGCACTAGTGTTAAAAGTCTCTGTGGTTCAGTTTAATGTTTGCCTAGAATGCAAAAGCCCAGCTGTTCAACAAGGAGATCTCCCAGAAATGCATGGGACATGATTAAGATATGGCCTGCTCTAGGTACACTCGAGATATGTTATCACCGATGAAGACAGTTAAACATCTAAAATGAAGGTAGAGATCTTACATCCCTGTTAATGTTCAGTTGCATTGTAACTCCATTTATTTTTAACAACTCATGACCACTGGCAAGTCCACTCAAAACTATTTTTCTTTTTTTAATTTTTACTAGTCCATTCAAACTATAACATGAACAATATACAAGAAAGACCCTTGGCTGATTCATACCTTCAGCACAAGCTCCTCAAAGCACTGTTCCACATTAACCCTCGTCTTTGCACTGCATTCGATGAAAAGACATCCATATTCCCTGGCAAAATCAATTCCCTCTTTTTTGCTGACAACCCTTTCACTCTCCTGCAAAAAAATTCATATGTATGTGAATCATCCCTTGAAAATTCACGAGCATCATCACGTACCGCCAATTTGACTCAAAAGAAACAAATGCACCTGGTCAATATAGCGTATACGATTGTGTTTGGGAAATAGAAGAAGCTTGAGATGGAAGAAATTCTCTTCTGCAAACGAGGAGAGGTACCTTATCAACTTTGTTGCCTACAAGCATCTTGATGCACTCCTGATTTGTTGAGTACAGGTCGATTTCTTTGGCCCATATATCAGAGAGATTAGTAAATGTGTCTCGCCTTGTTACATCATAAACTGTTGAAAATCAAAGATAGATAAGTCTAAAAAAAGACAACATTCTAAAAAAATTCTTGGGGGTGGCAAGGGAGTAAGGTGAAAGAATTTGTTCGAACAACAAGAAATTCATTAAGAAGAAACTGAATTTGCTTCTAAAAATAAACAAGCAAGAAGAATCATATTTCTAAATGGTACTCACAATCAGATTGTTAAAGAGCTTTCCTATGCACCAGCACTAGTGCTCTTTCCACTAACGTTTCTATTCTATTAAAACTGCAAGAAAGGTCGTATACTTTCATATGAACCAGCACTAGTTTTGTCTTTCCACTAATGTTTCTATTCTTTTAACAAGCAAGAAGAATCATATTTCTAAATGGAACTCACAATCAGATCGTTAAAGAGGTTACCTATGCACCAGCACTAGTTCTCTTTCCACTAACGTTTCAATTCGTTAAAGAGGTTTCTTGTGCACCAGCACTAGTTCTCTTTCCACTAACATTTCTATTCTTCTAACAGTGCAAGAAAGGATGTATACTTTCATATGCACCAGCTCTAGTTTTCTCTTTCCAGTTTCTATTCTTTTAACAATGCAAGAAAGGACGTATACTTCTCCTAAGAAATACTCTAAGAAGTCAAGACACTCTACAATCCATTCTCCGTGGTACTAGAACACTCTTTCAATGTTATGGACTACTATTTATAGAAACTCGAAAACTACGACAACCATATGAACCAACACAAAAGGAAGCATAATGTCATATATACGCAGGCTGCAAGCTGTGCCAACTTCTTGTCCTGTGCTTAGTGTTTGTCCTGACAGCAGTGAACATTGCTTATCTCTTATAAAGCAAATGAAGTGAGTGTAGCATGATGATTACATAATATTGGATATTCGTCAAATACTCAAACCAAATAACAAAGCAGAAAGAAGAGATGTCAGATTACCCATGATTATTCCTTGAGCTCCTCGGTAGTATGAACTCGTTAAAGTCCTAAATCTTTCCTGTCCAGCTGCAAAACAAGAAAGTCATAATGTTATAACTAAGAATTGTGCTGGAGGAGACCTCTTATTAGCACATTGAGCAAAACATGCTGAGTTCAATCACTGAATTAAATTGACAACAATATTCAAAGAAGCAATACCAATCAGCAGCGCACTCTGCCACCACCTTATTTCCAAAGGCGTTAGATGGGTCAGTTGGTGATGAATTGATTTTAAATAAATGAACAAATATCAAGAATTCGTTAGTTAAGATTTCCTAAGTTTCAAGGCACTTCATAGGTCTTCCTCATTTTAATATACAATATTCAACTTACCATTGGCACCCCCACACCTAACTGAATAACAGGCATCACTATTTGAACTTGTGGACAACCCGCCTAGGTCCTCTAATCTTAGAGCCTAAGTGCTGCATTGTGCTTGGTTATGAAGAAGTAATTGGCTTCATTAATGGCATCAAAAAGATGTGTATTACAACATTGCGCCTGGTTCATCTAATTGATTGTAGATTAATTCATCAAGGTACAGTAAGGAGAATACGAGAAGCTCAATGAAGTACCAAGAGAAATCACAAAGATTTTAGCATTCAGAATTTGACAAGATTCTACTTGCTCTAAATTTATCAAAAATTTGATTCATGTTTAGTTTGGTTCTTTAAGCAAGTTTAGTTGTCTAAACAAACCAACGTTGTCCTATTCTTGGTAATTGGTGAGTTTTTGGTGTATGAAGCAAGTTTAGTTGTCTAAACAAACCAACGTTGTCCTATTCTTGGTATGGTGAGTTTTTGGTGTATGCGTGCAATTGCATTTACTTGTGTGTGTTGCGACCAACAGTTGACAGTACTAGTTTCTGTCAAGTAAATTGTAATATCAAATGACTCAAGGGGGACATAATTTTCAATTCTTCACTCTTACTTGACAGATGCAAAATAAGGTTTCTTAGGTTGAAGAAATTTTAGCTTTTAGATGGAAAACCACAAGATAAAACCCGGGATACCATGTCATATAATTTAACTTAAGGGGTAATCAATAATGAGCTTTCATTGGTTTGCATAGGATATAATTGGATAAGAATCCGGGTTTAAAAGAATGCTACTTGGTGAAAAGGGTTTGCAACTAAAACATTTAAAATAAAGCATGACTTTATTGAGGATCGGGCATAAAATAACAGAATTACCTGTATCCCATATAGCAAGCTTCAACTTCTTCCCCCCGAGGGTGACATGTTTTACCTTGAAGTCCACACCTGAGAATATGAGAAATGACTTAATGCATAAAAGAAATAGGATTTATCTAATGCATTTATGGCATATTAAGTGCACGGTGAAAACCTGCTAAGTTCAGTTCAAGTGCACTATCTCTTAATATATTTGTCAGTACAGACACTGTGTAACGGAAAAGACCATCATGAAATTGGTCAGATCAATTAACTGTTTATACCACCATTTTAATCCTAAAGTATCTATTTTCTTTTTGTTGCTGCTGGTCATGCGGCACGACATGAATACCACAATGCAGTAAATACTCCCCTAAATTTAGTTATGCAACACCACCTCGTCCACTCATATTGAATTATCTCGAACTGTTAGTTTCACTTCTGATATAGGCACATAACAATTCCAAATAGTGTCTTATTAACTCTTTCACAATTTATGCGGCTTCAACTTATCGAATCGCTGCAGCCAAACTGTTAATTAACCTTCAATATGCAATAGAACCATTGACCAACACAAGTTCCGCGCATAAACAGCTGAAAGAACCCTCACTTAACTAATTACCACACCCACAAAACACAACTATTATTTTCAATCTTTCCATCAATACCATCATATCCACAAATTAATTATCACCCAATATTTCATATTTGATTAATCTAACATTCCCACTTCCACACACACCTCCTCTTTATTTACAAATGTACACAACAACAAAAAAACAATTTTTAAGCAATAATATTTGCACAATATACTTAAAAACAGACAAGCCTATAAATTAACAATTTTCAAAAAGGACATATTAACACAACTTACCAATAGTTGGAGAAAGATCCTCAAAGGCATCAGAAGTGAAACTGAGCAACAAACTACTCTTCCCTACTCCTGAATCTCCAATCAACAACAGCTTAAACAAGTAATCAAACTCCGGCGAAGACGAAGACGGTTCCATTTTCTCAAAAACCTTCCAACAATTTCAAATTTCCAGTTATACCCAGATACTCAATCTACCTAAAAAACCCTAAGATCCAAAAAAAATAAAATTCAGAACAACAATCAATAAACACAGATTCAAAAAAAAACTATATATCAAATCAACAAAATTAAAAAACGAAATCGAAGAAGAAAAAAAAGAAGAGAAAACCTTGTAATTGGTAAAGTTTGTATTATATAATGATCAATACAGAGAAAAAGTTGACGAATGGAGAAGAAACCTCGCGAAGCTTTTGCTCTCTTTTGAAGGCAAACTTTTATAGTGAAGCGTTTGGTTGTACACTATGCTTTAACAAGTTGTACGCTTAGAGAGTTTACCGACTCGGATCGGACACCGATTGTTTCATTTGAGATTATTCATAATATTTGTTTGGTCTCTTTTCATCATGCCAAATAATACAAATTAATTTTTTATAAAACCAAATTTTAATAAATAGAAAATAAGTAAATCTTGTAAACAAATTTGTTTATTATAAATACTATGATTAAGAAAATTATTTTATATATTGTAAATTGGTAATACAGATTTTTTTTTAAAATCAAATTCTCCTTTCAGGTGTGTGAATTTTATATCGCGGCAATTGTTTTAAGAATAGAACATTTTAAAGCATCTGCATTTGAAAATAATCTGAATTGTTGAGTCTGTCTATTCAATTGTTATAATATTCAATATAATGTCTCACTTTTAGAAGTGATTCTCGAGTTCAGTTACTTAAACGAGTTATTGATTCAAATTTAATTTATAATTTCAATTCAAAATGACTTTATACAATCAAAGTAAAAAAAGACAATTAAAAAAATTAAGAAGGAAAAAAAATGAGAAGTATAATTAGATAATTTTCATGCAGAATCCTAATCTAAGTTTTATGAATTTTGACTATAAACCTTTTTAATGTCAAAATTTAAATATCATTACCGTTACTAAAAAATAATGATTTGGTAGCAAATAATCGTACTCTCTAGCATCATCTATGTTGACCCAAATAATTCATATTTTAATAATACTGGAAAATGAAATTCATCAACTAAATATTTTAATAATACTGGAAAATGAAATTCATCAACTAACTTCTATTCTACTGTATTATGTCTTCTTTTTTATGCTCACCAGAAATCGATCACTAATGTTCACTATATTTGAGTCTTGATACATAGGTTTTTGAAAAAATTATTCTAATTTATGTGACACACACATATATATATATATATATCCTCTCTTATTAGTAGTCGAAGTAAAGGCCAGCATGAGATCAAAGTCACTTGTCGTTCGTTCGCTTTCTGTTCAACAATGATTATTAATATTCCCTTACTTCTCAAGTTTTGAATTTTATATATATATATATATATATATATATATATATATATATATATATAATTTGAGAGTCATTAAAAAAGCCAATCACAATTTTAAATTTTATTTAAATATTTTAAATTGTTAATTATTATGATTTAAGTACTTTTAGTTTAGCTCGTAAATATATAAGTTATTGAAAATGCATTTTTTTTCCTCGGTCATAATTTATGTAGCAAAAATGAAATTTGAAAAGTCAATCAAAATTTTCTTTAATCATAACTTTTTTATGTTTTTTTTAGAAAAATATTTTAAGTAATTTATGATTATTGTGAAATCGGTGTAAAATTTTAATAAGAGGTCTTAAGAATATTCGATAAAATTAATTTTTGCATGTGTCATATGTGTATCTCGTGGACCACATATGCATTCTATGCATTGTACGTGCATTTCAAGTCCTCTTTTCATCTTCACTTTTTCATTTCTTTTAAAAGTATTGTGAAAAAACACTTTAAATATATTTCGACAAGAATGTTTGAGCGTATTTTGTTGAGCTAACTTATGTTCTGTTTTAATTGTTCATTCTTAGCTCTACAAAGAAGACATTAAAAAGAATTCAATCTATTGAAGTCAAAAATTGTATAACTTCTTTTTACTTTTGATCATCAACACTTTTCAATTGTACGTGGCTCCGTCACTAGATAGTGATAGTTGTGAAATTGATAAAGTTGATTGTTATGGCTGGAGTGAAAAGATTTACTTCCAACATGATCGAAAGAAAGGAATTATATGATTTTTTACTATAATAAATCGATTGACACTCCTTCGTTAGAAAATTATACTATATAACTAGATAAAAATATATTTTTTTATATATTAATTATATATTGACATTTCTCAACTTATAGACATTTAAATACTTCTTTATATTATGATAATCTTTAATTAAAATTCTGACTCCGTCATTGTCACTACAAGTACCAAATCTGTTCATGATGAAGTTGCCTACGAAGATATTATTTGAGGTCACAAATTAAGAATTTATGTATATAATAAGATGATTGTGTCTGTAAGCTTCTCTAAAATTTTAATAGGGATAACTCTCTCTCTAATTCTCCCACACTAGACGTAGTTTTGCCAAAACACTTTCTTGACAAAAACGGAGGAGCAAATTTTACAACAATATTTCTACCAATAATAATGTCCCTATAAATATTACTTCCTCCGTTCAAAAAAGAATGATCTACTTTGATTTGAAACGCAGTTTAAGAAAAGAAAGAAGATTATTTAATCATGTGGTTCTAAATTAAAGTAATATCAAATATATCAAAATGTCACATGTCATGTGAAAAATTAAAGTTAAAGTGATTCCGAAAAAGAAAGGGATTATTTTTTTTGAAACAAACTAAAAAGGAAAAAGGGGACATTCTTTTTGAAACGAAGAGAGTAGCTAACAATATTCGTACATAATATACGAGGATGAGAATTTTTTTTTAAAAGTGTAAAATTAAAATTACAATATCATAGAGCAATCAATATACAATTATGATTGAAATTCGTACTCGATTCATGATATTCATGTTATATTTTTTTTTTGTAGAGGTGATAAAACCTCTAATAGTGGTTGTCATGTCGTTTTTTATATATTGATGATACCACAATTCAAGGTTGGATAATGAATATGCCTATTACTTGTACCTTTTGATTATGTTGAAGGACTTCATAAGAACACGACCCCAGTCTTCCTAATAGGTGTAGAAACCTCTTTGCTTTTACGGCTTCGTCGGTGCATCTCTTGAACTGCAGGAGCAACGACACTCGATACACCAACATGAACAACCTCAAAGTTACCTATCGTTCAAAATGAACTCGCTTGGGACCTTTCGAAGATAAATTTATAATGCAAATTGACAATTGTTAAATTATCATTTTAAGGTTATCTTCACAAAATGTTGATCATGATCAATTTCAAACTTAAGAAAAATTTAAAACCCTACTAAACGGCCAAAGCCCCTTAAAAGTCTTGAAAATTGTGACGAAATTTCAACTAGGTAACAAGTCATTCTTTGGACCTAGTGGAATTATTAAACTCAAATTTGACTCCGTCAATTTTAACATATTGACTTTGATCAAAACTCCAAGATTAAAAAACTGAAAAACTTTTCTAAAACACATCTCATTAATTAAAGAATTGTAGTATTGTACCAGACATCCTTACAAGTCATAAATACTATCCCTAAGCTATGAGGAGAATCAAATAGGAGAAAAGAAGCAAATCACGACCTTAAGCGTCGTTATAAAAATAAAATAGTGATATCCTAGATAAATAAAATAAAGTGAAATAGAAAGTCAGACCTGCTTTAAGTGTTAGTACCTCCACCATCAATTGATAGATTGAAAATTCGTATCATATTAAAAGTAAGTAAGAATAATATAAATCTCACGAGAAATTAAAATAAAATACACAAAAAATAAAATTTAAATATACAATTATTCTTATACACACTATCAAAAAAGTCAAAAAATACTTTGTTTTTTAGATTGTGTAACACCCTTCTAACCTTATTTGCCCAAATTTTGTTCCTTCAAACATTTAACAAACAGAAACTCCGCATTTTCAAATTAAGCCGTCTCCGGTGCTTCAGCCCATTCTTCCCGTATCTTTCTCCGGTGAGTCTCCGAGCAATCAGTTCCTCCGGCTGAAATCTAGCGGTAAGTAATACTCTCGCGGTTTCTGCCTTTTGATTTTCATAACTATAATTTTATCTGTAATATGAGAATCCCCAATATGGGTTTGGTAGCATTGATATTTTCTGGTCTCCCACTGCCAAAATGAAGCCTCAAATCTTTTGTAAGATAATTTGCAGTCTTTTGCTTACACGAAATTGTTCAGTTTTTGGTCGTATTTGTCTTGCAACCCATGATAGTTTTGACAAATATCCTCAGCAGGTCCATGTATATGAAAGTTAGGAGATTCAAGCTGTGGAGGCAATGTCTGGTTTTTTGTTTTGGGGGTGGGGGGGATTACTAGATGTTGATTCCAATATCATGGCCTCATGGGGCAAGACAAGTTTTCTTTAGAATAGTTTTATGTGTGGGCAATCGAAGGACTTTGATGTAGTACTCACTGCTCATAATGTGTCAGCAACATAACTCAAGAAGTTTGTTAAGTTGCAAATTTGGGTTGGTTTACTATACAATCTGGAATTGGAAGCTAACTAAGCTTGAGAAATTACAGCAAAACACGAAAGAAGAAATAAGAGGGTCTAAGAACTACCCTAAAAACTAGGGCTAATTCATTCTCAAAATATAAGCAAGTCCTTTCAGGGGGAAGTTATTTATAGGCTTAATACAAAGGGAAGTAGGATGGGAATGAGCAAACATGCTTCTCTAAAACAAGCCATAAGTGCCCAATGCTAACTTGAGCCTCCTTAATTCCTTGCCAGTTGCTTTAAGAGGCTTAAGAAATTCATATCGTATCAAATCTCCCTCCTTCAACTCACCCTTGTCCTCAAAAGTGTGCATTGTAATAAGCAAAGAACTCATGTGTAGATTCACCGTTTGTAAACATTTTTGAGTGTTATCAAAAGAATAAAGCTCCAAAAAGCATTAAAATGCTACTCTAGTTCTGCTGGCTTTATTTTTCAAGAGCTTTTGCAGCACCTGAAACAACTGCAACTCCTCCCATGTCAAACTTAATTAGCTTTATCAAGCACCAGGTTCAGTGTTGATGTTGTACCACCACAGTCAAAAGTCAATTTCGTTCCAACCAAGGGTAACAACTTCTTTGTGACTTCTGCACTAGTAGGCTTATAAGATACAAACAACAACATACCCAATGAAATTCCACAAATGGGGTCTGAGAAGGGTGGTGTGTAACGGAACCTTACTCTTACCTCATGAAGGTATATAGGTTGATTCCGATAGACTCTCGGCTTAAGTAAAGCATAACAAAACAAGAAGAAAATATAATACTATTAGCAAATGACACGATAATTGAAGCATAGAAAACATGTAATAATAAAATCGAAAAGTATAAGAAAGTAGGAGAAGCGGA